AAATAGTATTAAAGTTTATAAATCCAATGAGTTAAGTCAAGTTAAGTTGAATCAAGTCTAGTATTATAGACTCATAAGTTTATGAGCTAAAAATTTACAAGCCAAGTCTAATTAAGACTTGATTCTCAAAACTTGAGCAGCTCACGAGTTTATATAGTAACTTGTGAACTTATATAGTGACTTGTAAGCTTATAGTGGCTCACAAACTTATATAGTAACTCATGAATCTATATAGTGATTTATAAGTTTATATAGTAATTAATTTTTGATCAGACATTTAATTATCACATTCTATTTTAATAGTTTATTATCACACTTTTTATTGTCATATCATAGAATATATCTAGTAACGAATAAATGATAAACAAAATTATTAAAAAAATTTATTTTATTTTCTTTTTATTTTTTCTACTATTTTTTTTATTTTATTTATTCATTCTATACTTTTATATTAATATTTTTCTTTTATCTCACTATCTCTAATATTATTTACTACTTTTACTACTATTTTTAAACTGTAAAAACCTTTTCACCACCTTTATATTTCTTTTATTTACTTTATTTTTATTCTTGTATCTCTAAATTACTATTATTACATTACACCACTAATTTTAAAAGAAAAATAGCTAATTTGAAGAAGAAAAAGATAACTTCATTAGTAAACTATTAATATTCTTGAACAAAGTAGTGTAGAAAAATTATTTTCACCTCACTATAATATTATTTTATTCTTTCCTCACCTCTTGCTCAAAATTATTTATTTTTTTTATTATTTTTATTGAATATATACTAGTAGTTAGAATTCTATCGTGAAGCTTATTATTTTATTCATTTGTAATTAACCTTAACTAAATGTAAAAATAAGAATTTCAAATTAAAAATATAATTATTCTTTATTTACATTATTACAATAAGATATCAAATTTTGAAGATAACTTGTCTGATGTTGTTGATGTTACTAATGTTAAAATATATTTACATGCAAAATTATTTTGGGATCTCAAAATTACAATTTCAAGGAAAAAAGTCAAAATAGTTTTTCATAGAAAACAAAATTATTTTACTTAAAATTTAAAATTTTTTGATTATCTAGATTTATTCTTTAATTAAGTATACATATAACTGGATACTTTTTTTACTTTTATATATAGAATAAATTCTGTATAAATCTCAAAAAGTTGAAATACCTCAAAAATCCAAAATCAATTTTGAAAACATGTATAGTTGAAATGTATAATATCCAAGAAAGTGGAATTGTATCTTCTTCTGTAAAAAAAAAAACTTTTCCAATTTACAAGTTATTTACTTTTGATAAAGATAAAAAATGACATTATAAATAATGCAGATAAGAATTTATTATTTATTAAAGTGAAATATTATAATTATAATAATTATTATGGTTTGAATTTTTGATTATTAACTTTAGTTAAATATTATAGAGCAAATTTTTCAGATAAATCTATTACAAACTTTTATAATTATATTAAAAAAATCTATTTATTAAGTAGAGAGAATTCAGGAATTGAATTCATGAATTCAAAAAAAAAGAACAGAATCAAATGATAAATTAAAAATATATTTAAGAGAAGAAGTTGTAACTAACAAGTGTAATATATTATTATGGTGAAAGGTATATTTATTAAATTAATAATTAATGTATATAAAATATAATTTTACACTAATTTTACTATATAAAATTTATTTTAAAATTGTGAAATCTAATTTTTTTATTTTAGTAAAATGGCTAGAGATTATTTAGCTATTCCTGCAACTAGTACTTCAATTAAAAGAGTTTTTTCTGAAAAAACTGATTTAATTATCTAAAGGAGATATAGTTTAAAAGGTAACACTATATATGTCTTAAAAATTGGTTAAAAATTGAATTTGGAAAAATTGATATCAAAAATTTAGAAAATATAAATAATTTAAAAATTTGAATTTTTTAAAATTTGAAAATTTTTTTTATTTAATTATTTTAATTATATGATTTAAAATGTAAAAAATAATATTAATATATTAATTGATAAAAATATAAATACAATAAAAACAAAATTCAAATATATCAAATAAGTTAATTTTTTTATTATTTATATTTGATATTTTATAATTAAAAATTTGAAAATTTAATTATACTTAAATGATTTTATTCACTATAATAATATAAAAATTATAATAAAAAAAAACTTTCTATATAAATTATATATATTTTTATTCAAAATTGAAATAATAATAATATATTAATTAAAATTTTTAAAACTATTTATAAAACTTTTAATCATCTACAAACTTTAAAACTAGTTTTTATATTATATTTGAGTTACTAATTAAAAATATTTAATATATTTAGAAATAGTTATAATTAAATTTTCACATGATTTAAGTTAATATTTGTAAAGATATTCACATTTTTCAAATAAATAAAATTAGTTATTTTTTAATATATTTGTTCATGATTTACAAAGCATAGAGTAATTTTCTCTAAGGTATTTTTAAGATAGAAAGAAAATCTTATTCTTGTTACAAAATAATATGTGTTTTATTTCTATAGTATTGATATTTGTAGAGTTATTCATATTTAAAGCAAAATGTTTGAAAAAGATTTTTGCTATAAAATTTTGAGTTATTATTAAAACTCATGAGCTATTATATAAAGCTTGCAAGTTACTATAAAGCTCACTGCTCTAAAGTTCGTGAGTCACTGTAAAGCTTGTGAGCTATGAGCTGAGCCAAGCTAAGCCAAGCTTTATTATATAAACTTGACTTGGCCTAAGCTAAGTTATTGAATTTAAAATTTGACTCAAGTCAGATTTAAATATTTGAGCTCAAGTCAAATCTTATATAACTTAGCTTGACTTGGCTCATTAGGAGCTTTACTAAATTTATTCTATTTGAAGTAGATAATAGTTAACATCTTAATACCTCTCCCTTTCTTTTTGCTAATAAACCTATCAATATTACTACAACTAATAATTTATTATTAAAGTAGAATAACATTATTAAAATTACTCAAGACAATTTGCAAATAGTATAGGAATAACAAAAAAATTATATCAATAAATATAAGCATAAATTAAATTTCAAAAAAGGTAATAAAGTAATAGTAAATATTATTAATATAATGAATCCTATTCAATTCAACTGTTCAATTAAAAAACATTCTCTTAAATATATGGGATCTTATATAATTGAACAAATTATTTTACCAACTGCATACAAGTTAAAATTACCTCTTACTTTAAAAACACATTCTGTATTTCATGTATCAATATTAAAACTATATGAAGATAATCCTAACAAATTTAATTGCAAAATCTTACTACAACCAGAAGTAATTTCTAAAATCCAAGGAGAGAAATACAAAGTTGAAAATATTTTAGATAAAAAGATAATTTGACAAAAATCATTTTATTTAATTAAATAGAAAGGTTACCTATTACATGATGCAACTTGAGAACTCAAGAAAAATTTAATGAATGTAATAAAATTATTAAATGAATTTGAAAATCAACATGGATGTTAAATTTTAAAACAGGAAGAAATATAACATTTTTTATTTTTATTTATTTTTATTTATTTAATCAATACTACAATTATTATTTTATTTTATTATTTTATTATTTTATCATTTATTATTATTATATTATTATATCATTATCAAATCATTTTATCTTATTTTTATATTTTGTATTAATCTGAATTTGATTTTTAAATCTTAAATTATTATTTATTTTCTATTTTGTTATTTGTAATTTTGATTATAAATTACATGAAATTTTAATAAAAAAAATTAGAAAATTGTTTTCTGTTTAAATTAATATTTCATTTATTTTCTTATTATTTCTTGATGAAAATAACTTATTAATTCAACTTATAGTAAACATAACCAAGTTCATTATATAATAATATAATACAATTATACAATTAAGTATTTAATCCTATAATATCCATTATTCCCTTATTAACTATTATATTTTTATATTTAATAATTATTTTTTTATAATTTTTATTTTATATTTCTAATATTTATTATTTTATTAATCCAATTGCAAGGTAATTTTTACAAGTTTTTATCTTGGAGTTACAAATTATAAAATTAAATTTATTAATTTAAATAAGTTATAAATTATCAAAATTCAAAATTATAAAATTGTAAACTAAAGAATTAAGATAGAGCCTCAACCTTTTATAAGTATTTTAAGTGATCTATACTAATGTGCCATTACTGTATCTTACTGTGTATTATTTCTATTAGTTAATATATTTATCATATGATTTACTAAATTTATCTAATAATAATTAATTTGTTATTGATTAAAAATAATGTAATGATAATTAATACTATATTATAATTATGAAATATGTGTCATGTGAATACTTGATCTATACTATGGATTATTTTTTTGGTAATTTCATCTGGTAACAATGTTTTGTACTTATAGCATACTAGAACATCTCTATATAATTCTGGATGTGAATAAATTATAATATTATATAAAAGATCAGTAATCTTTTGTATATTACACCTATCTGCTTATTTTCTGTCTAAATAGATGATAGATAAAATCTCTATAATATATACAGGTTAAAATATCATGAACTAAACATCTATTGAATATTTAATAAATATCTGGTTTATAATATTTTGGCCTGTAATACATTCTGTAATATAATAATTAACCTATTAACTTATATCCAATAAATCAACCAATTAGAAGAATTAATATCAACTTATAATACTTGTGACTCAAATTATCTATTACATATTTACATATCACCAATACTTTCAGTATTGACAAATGGCTTCAAATAACCTTAGAAATAATTTTATTACAATGCCATGATGATTTTACTATAAAATATCTAGGTTATTTGAAAAAAATATCAAATGACTTTGAAATTTGCCAACACTGAATACTTCCACCTGTGTTTATTTGTTATTTACATATTGTATTTTTGATACAATTTATTATTTTGAATCAAATATTATATTACCAATCCAATTAAGATCCAAGGTTCTTATATCCAGCATTTTTGATATGACTTGAAAAATGAATTTCTGTAACTTCTTTATTACAGGTTTCCTTATCACTATTGGTTATGTTAATAACTCCTTGCAGCATTCATCCAAATTTGGCTCAACAAAATTTTAGAATAGGATAAATAAAAACACAGAGACACAGTTAAGATTCCAGAATCAATCACAATTCTAAAAATGATTACACATAATTCATCCCTTACAGGTTGTCCAAAGGATTTTATGACACTTTCTGACAAAAAACTACATATTCCACAGAAACTTTTGACAAAAAAGAACAATAGGTCAGATTGAGTAATAATATTATATATGGCTTGCAGGCAAAAGTTATAATAAAACATCCACACAAACAGATTAGTCTACAACTTAAAACAATAGTTTCTAACAGGACTGTTCCAAACAGTGTAATATAAGCAACAGTTTCTAACGGGACTGTTCCAAACAGTGTAATATGGGAATGATAATTTTGAAGAGAAAGGAGTGATAGTAGCCCAGATGATCAACGGAAAGAGTTTTAAAAAATGCTTGTAATTTTCAATTTCGACTTAGTAAAAAACGTTCCTTGTAAAATTTTATGCATAAGTTCTATTTTTAACCGTAGCTCTAACACTAATATTGATTATTGTGCAGTGGTTCACTATAAATTTTTTCATATTATATATATGATTTCTATTCTATAAAAGGAAGGAAAACTAAATTAAAAATTATTTCATTAACGGTTATCGAATTATCGTTATGTTCGTTGTTTGTTATTATTATTATTATGTACACAGATTAGTAATTCTAATAATTATGTAATGTTCATGAAAATCCCTTATAACTCTTATATAATTAACTGTTATTATTAAAATGGAATCGCTTGCTCCTTTTATCTTCACTATACTACATATCGTTATTGTATTAGATTTTCATTTTATTTGGAATATTTAAATCAAGATATTTTTAATGATAAATTATTTCCATCATACCTGCTTTAAAGACATCCTCATCACTATCGTTATTATCGTTATTATCGTTATTATCGTTATTATCGTTATTATTTCTATAATCGTTATTATTTCTATAATCGTTATTATCGTTATTATTTCCATAATCGTTATTATCGTTATTTCCATTACTCTTATTACCGTTATTATTTCTATTACTTTTATTACCGTTATTATTGACATTACTCTTATTACCGTTATTATTGACATTAATGTCATCACTATCGCTATGGTCATTACTTTTATTATTGTTTTCGATACTTTCTTCTTCAATATTTTCATTACAATTATTCGTTGTGATGGTTGTTAAATTTGTTGTTGTTATTAAATTAGTCGTTGGAGTCGTTCTCAGGGATGGATTTAATTTTTTTTTAACCCAATCTTTTAAAGTTTCTTGTCGATGAGAATTTTCCAATATTTTATAAATCACGGCTTCAAATTGAAATGATATTTCAATACATAATTTTTGCATATATGAATCACAACTTGGATATAATATACGAGGCATAGGTTGAGGTGAAATTATTCCATTTATACGTAGTTGATTGGTGGTTTCGTAATCTGTAATTTTGTAATTCATCATATCATCGAATTCGAGACCTAAAATAGAATATGATTAATAAGTTAATAAATAAGTTAATAAATCAATAAATCAATAAATAAATAAGTTAATAAGTTAATAAGTTAATAAATCAATAAATTAATAAATTAATAAATTAATAAATTAATAAATCAATAAATAATAAATCAATAAAATCAAATAAATCAATAAATTAATAAATTGATAAATTAATAAATCAATAAATTAATAAATTAATTTAAATTAATAAATTAATATAAATTAATAAATTAATATAAATTAATAAATTAATAAAAATCAATAAATTAATAAATTAATATCACATGTCATAATATAAAAAATTGGATATAAATAATAAATACCGTCATTAAAAACTTTATAAACGTGGCCCAAAAAAGTATGAGAGACGAATTCACCTACAACATAATTTCGATCAGGCAAAACTTTTTTGTTAATAATAGTTTCAGCGATAATTTTAGCAAAATCAGATTTAACTGATACATTAACGAATATATATTGACTAGGACTATTAAATGCGGTGGTAATAGTTGAGATGTCATTATTAAGAATATTTTCTGCAAATAATCCAACTTGAAATAATATCCATTTCATTTCATTAGGTGATTTCCAATTATTATGTATTGATGACGAATTGTAATATTCGTGAGAGTTGAAATTCTTAACGGTAGACGAAGAAGAAGAAGAAGAAGCCGTTGTTGTTGCATAATCCAATAATTTTTGATGAAGTTGCGTTCGAGGACAAGAATTATTACGCACCAAATGATCTCTAAAATTAAATTATGTAAAATTATATAAATTATGCGTGTAAATAATAAAACAATATAAATAATAATGAAAAGTATAATGAAAAGAATAAATAAAGAAGTACAATTCCATTCCAGAATCCCACGTTATGAATATGACTACTTTATTCACCAAACAAGCCGCAAATAATGCTTCGTGATCGGAAAATTCATGATAAAGCATAGAAATCGCAATAATGCAATCTATTAATTATATTAATATTAATATTAAATATCATTAATAAATAAATAAATTATATCAATAATATCAATAATAATCATCGATAATATTTAATAATAACAATAATAATTAAAATAAATTAGAATATTAATAATTTTTCATTTTAATTGGAAATAATTAACGATGACATGTAATCCTAATTATAAATTTACCAGATAAAACGGCTTCAAAATCTTTAATATCCTTCCAAGTACCCGGTATTATATTTGCATTTATAGATTCTTTATTAATGTTCTATAAATTTAATAATAAATGATAATAATGAAGTTTTCGAACGATATTAATAAAAGGTGTTAACAAAGTTCTTTGATTTATATCACATGATTATTCATTCTTCAAATTATTCTTTAATAATACTCACTCACTTTCTCATGTGTATTACTAATTAAGACGCTAATATTTCTAGCACCTTTCTCATATAAATTGACTACAATTAAAGTTAGAAGTTGAATATCATCGTTTCCCACAATATATATGGGTATATCTGAAATATCTATAACATCATTCATGTTCACTAAATGAAATATGAGAAATGTTAACAATGTTCGATTTTTTTTTTTTTTTATAACGAAAATATTCTCTTTACCATGTAAATTATAATTATAAAATTTAAAATTTATGACTTCATATCTTAAATATAATCTTAACTATAATCTTAACTATAATGTTAAATATATTTTGAATATTTAAACGCTATTATTACTTATTCTTGTTTTTGAGAAAATGAACTTAATTATTCGAGACGTGCTTGAACACAGTTAAACACAGTAAGCATGTTTTTTTAAGGATTAATAGTTTTTTATGGGATTTTTAATTACTCGTTTTGTCTTTTGTAACTCTAAAAAGGTTTTAAATGATAAATTTATATAATGTATTTTAAAATATCGGTTTTTTTCCATTTTTGACTCACATAAATCAAAGAAGAGCGAAGAAAAAACAAAAAAAGAAACAAACAAATAAGAAAAAAAAACGTTAGGAACATTTACCATCACTTATATAAAAATATAAGAGTGAAAAAAAAAATAATAAAATGATTTAGATGGTTATTGGTTGAAAATTAAAATTGTAGAAAATCAACACCAAAGTATAAAATATATAATGCAATATATTATTTTTTTATTTATTTTTTTTTTTATATTTATTTTTATATTTATTTTTATATTTATTTTTATATTTATTTTTTATTTATTTATTTTTTTATAATTATTATTATTTTCATTTAAGGTTTGAATTTTCCGAATCACCAAACGGAAACTTCGAAAACAACGCAAACTTCGAAAACAACGATGGATCACTTATAAAAGAATTCATTTATGTATCATTCAATCAACTAAAAAAGTATTCATTAATCAAATAATGATTCATTCTCTTTGATTATTTTTAATTGTTTTATTTAATTGCTGCAATTTTACTGCAAGATGTACTTGTAATTGTGCAGTAATTGATAATAATATCAACAATAATTTTACAATATTTTACAATATTTTACAATAATTTACAATAATTTACAGTCATTTTCCATACATCATGCATATAGTTTTTATGCAGTAATTTTCAGTAATTATTATTATTACTATTATTTATTATAATTTGTATTATTTCTATATAATTTGTCAATTATTGAAAAAATATAATTGACAATAATAATTTTTCTTTTAAAATTTGTAACAAATTATTTGATCTTACGCTTCAATCACTTCAACGAAAAAAATTTTAAGAGAAATAACGTTATATATAAATAAATAAATTTTTATGAAGAAGTAATTTTGTTAATACAAAATTTGAGAATGATAATTATTAACAGTTACAGTTAATATAAACAATATAAATAATTAAAATAAGAACTACTGCGTATATTCGGTGACATTTTTGTTTGTACCACAAACAATAAATCCGACGTTTCAAATATATACGAATATGTTATATTAATTTAAAGAAGAAAATATAAAATGAAAAAGATATCAAATAACAAAAAATAATAAAAAATACATAAAATACATAAAAATACATAAAAATACATAAAAAAAAAATACGAAGAAAAAAAAAATACAAAAAATACATTAATAATTCTTTAATTCTCTCCATATTTTACCTTTAAAATAAACCAACACTAAAAAATTAATACTTAAAGTAGAAATAAAAGGAAGTAAAGTAAAAGTCCAACCAATACCTAGAGCATCTTGTATCGAAACTGCGAAATTAGAAATGATACCAGAAGTAATAAAACAAATGAATTTATTAACAGATACTGCCGAGGCACTTTTAGTAGGATAAGCATCCACTAAATATGTTTCAGTTGATGAAATACCCAATAATGCTGAAAATGTTCCTAATAATAATAATAATATTATTATTATTATAATGTGCGAGAATAAAAAAAACGTAAGAATAGTAAAAATGTGAAATGTGAGAATAATAATAAAAATAAATCGTAAAAAAAAACGAAGAAAAATATTTACCAAGAAAAATAAAAATTATAGGAAAAACCATATAAACTTTTCTCTCAATTAACCATCCATAAGTAATAAAACTCAAAGGAACTAAAATTGCTGATATCCATACGCTTTTTATTCTCATTTCAGGACATACGTTTACTTTTCTCTTTTCACTACTAACGGTTTCTTCATCATCAAAATTTTCACGAATATTAATATTACTATTATTGTTATTATTATTGTTATTATTATTATTAATAGTATTGTTAATAACATTGTTAATTTTATCAAGTTTCTTTTGAGCTTGATATAAAACAAAATCGGAATATCTTCCGCCCAAAGAACACCCAAATATATTTCCAAAACCAACAGCGATATAAATTAATCCGATTGAAGAAGAATTAAGATTATATTGTTGACGAAAAGAACTCGGAATTAAAATTAATAAAGAATAAAGTATAACTGCAGTTGCATTCATATAACAAATAATAAAAAATACATTTAAATGAAGAATCATAGTTAATGGTGAAAATGGATTAAATGATTTATTATTATTATTATTATTATTATTATTATTATCATCATCATTATTATCAGATGGTGATTCAGATGATTGCTCAGGTGATAATTGTAATGGTTCAGTATAAAATGTTTCAGGGAAAAAGAAAAAAACTAAAAAGAATAGAAATCCACCAAATATTGCCAGAAACCAAAATACCCATCTCCAACTAATTAGAGCAAAATAACCACCTATAATAGGTCCAACTAAATTTCCAGTAAAAAATCCCACGTAAAATAATCCATATTTTCTTCCTCTTTCTATACAAATAATAATATGTAATCAATATATATTATATAATATATAATATATAAAATAAATAAAATAAAATAAATACCAGCAGGATAATAAATATCACTAATAACACCAGCACCAATAACTTGACCAGGCGAAGAACTACTAGCTTGTAATGCTCGCATAGCACTTAATAACCAAATATTTGTAGAAACGGCACCAATTATACTTGAAATTACAAACAATATAATGGAAGCAAGATAAACTTTTCGTCTTGTTTTACGTAAATCCGAATAAGATGCCCAAAAAAGTGGCGAAATTCCTAAGAATATTAAAAAGAGCGACACTTTTTTTTTTTGCGAAATTAGACAAGTTATTATTAATTTATCATTCTCATCAGTTATTCTATTATTTTATTATTATGTCATCGCGTTGTTATGTAATAATCAGATTTATTTTCATACCAGTTGAGCTTACAATTATTTCCGAAGTATTAAAATCGGAACGTATATCTGATAAGGCTGGATAAATAATACTTTAAATATAAAATCATTATTAAAATAAACAATATTAATGATAATAAATAATAATAATAATAATAATAAAAGGATAATAATAAATTAACTCACGCATTACAGAAAGGTGCAATCATGTTTAATAAAGAAATAATAAACAAAATCCAAAACTTTTTTTTAAAATTCCATAATTTTGGATTATTTGAATCATTTATTGAATTATTTGAATTGTTTAAATTATCTGAATTTCTTAAACTATTTGGATTATTTAGATTATTTGGATTGTTGTTTTTCAATCCATCTTCAATAATTATAATAGAATCATTTTTTTCTTTATCAATTAATTCTTGACCATGTGGTAAACTTTTAAGATTATTAATAGTATTATTATTATTATTATTATTATTATTATTATTATTATTATTATTATTATTATTATTACTATTATTATTAATTTCTTTTAGTAATTCCATATTTTTCCCATTTATTTTTAATGAATTATATGAAAAAATTAAATCAAAATTTTTAATCAAAATTCTACTTAACGCTTTATAGCGGATAAATTAGAAAAATAAAGTTGCAACATAAAAAAAATTCTAAGAACGCCACAAACATTCTAAACATTCTATTGTTGGTAGTACGCATGTTGTACTACATGAAAAAAAACCAAATTTCCTTTTTCTTATCAAGATTATTTAAATTATTAATTAAAGTTTATTCAAAAAAAAAAAACTGGATATAAACGGTAATTCTAGATGCACATGTACAAACAACAAACAATGAACAAGATTAAACAAGAAAACGACAAAGAATTCATTCTGTAGATTCAAATTAATTATTCATAAATATGTGGTTTATACATTAGCGCGTGATATCAGATATATTAGATATAGATATCGAATTTTAATTATAATAACCCCTTGTATAAATAAATAAATTAAATGAAAAAGATAAATTATTTTTAAGAAATTACTATTTTAAGATTTACAAGATTCACAAATTATAATAAATAATCGCGTTACGAGTCGAGTCTGGTTATTCTCCTTCTTTGTTTATGCCTTTTAAAGAAAACAAAGAAAACAACACCTTTTAAAACATTTTATAATAATAACAATCACGTTTAATAATAATATAATAAATCACATAATTTAAAATATTTGATATAAAAAAAAAATTGAAAAAAAAAATGTTATGAAAGAAACCAAAATTGGATGCATGCAAAGCCACATATATTACTATTAATATAATTATCATTTCAAATTACCAGTTACCATACTTATTTCATAATGAATTTTCCACTATTATGGTATAATTATTTTATTATTTACTTATTTGTAGTTATTTATGTTGTTCGATGTTATTTAAGATTATTTATTTGTTATTTGAGGTTATTTATTTGTTATCTATTTGTTATCTATTTACTTTATATATTTCATTTGAACCAAAACAAGAAAAAAAAAATTCTAAACTTATTATAGATTTACCTGACCACCTGACCTGCAAGAATAATTATAATTAGTTGCTTCTGGTAGGCAATAAATTAAATGACATAATGATAAGATAAATTTTTATTTTTTAAATAAATAAATATATATATATACTGATAGATAGATATATAGAAAAAGAGAGAGATATATATATTTATATATGTTATGCTAAATACATTTACAATAATTTCATTTTTATATTTGAAATATATATATATATTTTTATCATTGATTGATTGATTGATTATTGTTTGTTTGTTTGTTTGTGATGCAATAATTAACAAATTAAATTCAATCTAATTCAATCTAATAAATAATAAGAATAAGAAGAATAATAATAATTATAATAATAATTATAATTAATAATATAATTTCAAAATTTTTAATTATTATTTTGAAATAAAAACGTCTTCTGAAACATTTTCAACATTTTCAACATTTTCTACGACATTATTTTAATGAAAAATGCCATTCATTTGTGTGGAAATTTGATCCCCGTCCTCTTCTTGATTAGATTGTTGTATAATATCATTGTCATTGTTATTATTAATTATATTGTTGTTATTGATATTGTTATTGATATTGTTGTCATTGTTATGCTCTTCTCTGTTCGTAATAATTGATCCATTACGATTACGCAATTCCATAATAACTACATATCCATCTTCATCCGTTTGTACTATTATATTTTCATCATCATCATTTTCGTTTTCGTTGATTGTTGTTGCTTCTTCTGCTACTGCTGCTACAATCCCTCCATCTTGTACGCCATCCGGTGGTGTTTGTATTACCCCTACTACTACTCCATCCCTATTTCCATCCTCCCTAATATTTCCATTGTAAACTCTACTCATTCTTTGTTGTAGTGATGGTGGTGGTGCTAATAATGTTGGCACAATATTAAATGCTGCTGCTACTGCTACATTTTCATTCCCATTAATATTCGCAATATTATTATTGTTATTGACATCATCGCCATCTCCCCCTAAATTTATTCTTCCTATATTTACATTACCTCCTATATTTATATTACCTCTTATATTTACATTTCCTCCTATATTTGTTGTTGCTAATATAGCTTCGTTAACTCCAGGTTGTCCATTTTGCTCATTACCATATTGGGGTGATGGTTGTAACATTTCCGTTGGATTAAATATTACTTGTCCTGGTTGCTGCTGTTGTTGTTGTTGCTGTTGTTGTAATTGTTGTAATTGTTGTAGCTGTTGTTTACGTTCTTCTTCAATACGATTTTGATACATTATACAATCGTTACATTTATAATCCTGTAGATTTCCTGAATCCGTACATTCAAAACATCCATAATAAAACCAATTACCACTATAATGATTACTATTGTTATCGTTATTGATATCATTATTATTTCGAAAATCAGAATTTCCTACACAGCGAATTTGAAATGAAGCAGGTTGTTTATTACAAAAATCACACCAAGGAACTTGTACTGAGGCTCGAGGATTTTTCGTTATTCTTCTTAAAGTATTTTCTAAATTTATTTTATCATTTCGAGTCCACCAAGTCCATTTATCATGATCGAGGTACCAATATATTGTTTGAAGTTTACATATAAGATTAGCTCGATGAACACGAGGTACAATTTTAGTAACTTTATCATCATTATCCGTATTATTGATTTCATCATTATTGGTATTCCCATTTTCTTCGTTCTCTTCATTTCTACCATTTGTTATATTTATTTCAACGTTAACAGCTGAATTAATTTGATTAATTTGATTGATTTGATTGATTTGATTGATTTGATTAATTTGATTGATTTGATTGATTTGATTGATTTCTTCGCCGTCGATATCTATATTGTCTATATTGTCGACGATATTGTCAATGTCAATATTGTCAATGTTGTTGATATTATCAATATTGTCAATATTGTTGATATTGGCGATATTGGTAGCTGTAATCTCTAAAATTTCAGATTGTTGTTGTTGTTCATTATTTTCATCATCATTTTGTTCTATTTGTTCCGATTTTTTTTCTTCACCTTCATCTTCAATAAAAAATAAATCTTCCAATAATTGTTTAACCGAACTCATTTCCAAAACTTCTTCCGCCGTTCTTAAATGTATAATTTTTAAATTTTCACAGGTTTCCAAGACGATACAAACACTTTCAAGTGTAATAGGAACTTCATTTAAATATAATTCTCTAATATAAATTCTAGTATCAAAAGGTAAATTATCATAAAATATTGATGAAATTATATAATCTGAAATATTTTTAACTAAATTTAAATTTAGTCTTGACCATAAAATGTCATGATTAAATATAAAATAATTTAAAAATTTACAAACTCTAGAAATTATTTTGGTACGGGTTTGTAATGATGTTAAAAGAAAAATTTTACCTAAAATCTCGGGTGGAAGATTTATTAGCATTGATCTCTTCTTATTATCATTATAATTATAATTGTTATTATAATTATTATTATTATTAATATTATTATTGTTAATGTTTACTACTTTTTGACTGTTATTCATTTTATTACTATTTTCAATTTCATTGTTATCATTGTTAATATTATCTTTATGCATGAGTAAAGAATCTAAATTTTAATATTTATATATTTATATATATATATATATATATATTATTTTTTTATTATTTTTTATTTTCAAAGAGAAAGAAATTAAATAAAAGGTCGTCACACCAATTTTTTTATAGAAAGACATTCGATCTTCCGAAGATCCTAATTAAACTGCGGTTTAATTTCTTTTGTTAGATAAATTAATAATTAAAGCCAAGCCACCAAAATTGAATGACACAATTAAATTTGATACATTATTGATACTTAATTAGTCATATTATCATTGTCATGTCATAGTGCATTTTAAAATTCCGCGAAACAATACTGCGAATATCGCTTGTATACTATTTATTATTTACTGCGAATACTTTGCTTGTTCATATACTATACTGCGATAAAATACTACAAATGCTACGAGGTTCAGAATTACTTAATTGATCAGATATTGTTTACGCATACAACTTAACCAATCGTGAAATTTTTTTTTTTAAACTGAAATGCATCATTGCATTATTACTGAAATATATTATTACTGAAATACATTATCACTGAAACTACTTGAAACTACTGAAACACATTATTACTGAAATGCTTTATTAATTTACAATATTACTGAAATGCTTTATTAATTTACAATATTACTGAAATGCTTTATTAATTTACAATATTTTACAATCAATCTTTTCTTTCTTCTTTTCTCTTATCCCTCTTTATCCCTCTCTATTCAATCTTTCAAATATTGTGGTATATGATAATATATCGTATTATATCATATCGAATATTATAAGCGTATAATAATTTGTATAATTGGTATAAAATTGTATAAAAAATAATTAATTTTTGAAACCAAAATTTTTTTGACACAATCCTTCTTTTTATATTTACAACTTAATTATTTACTAAAAAGGTATTTTCGAAATTACACCAAATTGTTTTATCTTTAATACTTTGTTTTTTTAAATTGTCATCTGCCTTATGTTTATATGTCGTTTTACATTATACATCCCCTGAATTCTTTTGATAAAATAACCAATCATTACTATTTAATAAATAATTATTACTGTTATCGTCATGACGAAATATTAAAGAAATTGACGGGCCAACGTAAATTCTCGGGAAATTCGTCGTAAATCACTTCCTTTTTCTAATAGATAACAATAACCGGTTTGAAATGTTTTTCTTTTATCTTTAAACTATAAAATGTGTGTGTAAATATATAGGAAAAGGGTGCTTTTTTATATAAACTTTATAAATAACTAGTATAGAAGAATAATCGAATAATCGAATAACGAATACGAATACAAAGCAAACGAAGAACGAAACGTCGGACTATCCGATTTATTTTTATTATTATTTGTATTATTTGTATTATTTTTAGTTATTCAATTTAATTTTGTTTAAACCAATTATTGTGTGACGCTTTTATCTTTCTCGTTTGATTACATATTTGTATTCTTTGATTTTTATTTTTTTTTTAATTCTTGCCTTTTATTCTTTTTCGTTTTTTCTTTTCTCTCTCCCTCTCTCTCTCTCTCTCTCTTCATTTTACGTTATTTTAATAGTTTTTCTTAGTATTAACTTTACACATTAATTAAATTTACATTATTAATTAACTTTACACAAATTAATTAATTATTCATTAATTAATTATTCACATTAATTAATTAACTATTCATTAATTAATTATTCACATTAATTAATTAACTATTCATTAATTAATTATTCATTAATTAATTATTCACATTAATTATCTATTACATATCCATTATTTTCAATCACATATCCATTATTATCCGTTATTCATTATTTCATTATTTTCGTTATCCATTATTTTCATTTAAATCATTCTCAATGTCTTATTGCATTGATAAAGGTAAAAACCCCCAAATATTGGCACCATCAATTCAATATCTAAAACAAAACAAAAATATCGAATTCATTTTTGAACCCGATAGCGATTATTTTATAAAAAAATTAAATGGTGGAACTGAAAATATTTTAAAAGGAACTTTACGACTAAAATATGATAAACCTGTTCAAGTGAAATATGTAAATTTAAATTTACGATGTACGGAAAAATCTTCATCTTATGAATCTCAAGGAAGATCCAATATTTTACTTACTGGAACACAAATTGTTATTGATAAGATAGAAAAAATTTGGGAAGCTAAAAGTGAGTCGACTATTTTAAGTTTAGATATACCATTTGCTTTTTCACTTCCTGAAGAAATACCGTCAGTAATTATTACAAAATATGGACAAGTTAATTATGTACTTAAGGCAGTTGTTTGTATTCAAAAACATTTTGTATCAACGTCACAAATAGTGGAAATTTCATATCCATTAAAAAAATTAATTATGGATACAAATACTTCATATTATAAATTACGTGGAGAATCTAAAAGTGGATTGGAATATTCTTTTGATTTACCGCCTAATAAAATCTTTAATATTGGTACATGGGTTCCAATACTTATGAGAATTCAACATATTATACCACATAGTAATTTAGATCGATTGGAAATTTCATTAAGAACAAGTATGGATTTTAGATTTGATAAACCCAGAAGTACAACACGTCAAATTAATGAAAAACTTATTTCCATAATGATATCACATCAAGATATTGTACAAATACAACCTACAAATCAATATCATGGAGATTTCGCAACTTATATCGATTTAACAATTCCAAAAAGTATTCAACCATCATATTCGGGAAGAGTCATAAGTATTACACATTATTTTTGTGTGAATTTTTATTTCTTGGATTCGGAAAAAGATTTTTCGGTTGAAGAACCTGTAATAATTGCAAATATTGATGACGAACCTTCTATGTCACCGACACCACCTCAAATAGGTACACCAATTTTATATAATAATCATTCAAGTCAAATAAGTCATATGAACATAAGTCATTTAAGTCAATTTAGTCAACATTTCGGGAATAATTCAATTAATAATTCATATTATCATCCAAAAGAAGAATATTATCCTTCACCGCAAACTAGTGGAAATCATAACGTGGAAGATTCTGATGATATTAGAGTTGCCCCACCTTAATTTCTTCTTCTTCTTCTTTTTTTAGTTTATTTGCTTAAATTACATAATTATATATATATATATATATTGTTTATTTTTAATTTATATATAATCTAATTTACATATATAGTTTATTTATATAATCTATTTTATCTATAATAGCTTATTTATATAATTTATTTAGCTTATTTATAGTGTAGTATAAATATTATTCAAGATTATTGAAATAAAACTTATATATTATCACTAAAAATTTGTGTGCGTAATATTTATTATATTATAATTATTAATATTATAATTGTTAAATTTCTTGGAATTAATTATAAATTTGTCATTAAGAATTATTATTATTATAATAAATATTGGTTTGGTTTAACTATAAAACAGAACAGAATGTTGTGATGATTCATATACTTTTATTATTATTAATCTTTTCTTTTATTACTTATAAAATAAAATTTGTATATTTTCTTCTAATATTAAAATATAATAATTATTAAAATTATTCAAATCATTCTTAAAGTTGTAATCATCTTCAAATTAATTAAATTAATTAGAATATTTCTTTCATTTTTAGATATAGATATAGATAATTAAATAAATTAAATTAAAATTTAAAAAATAAATAAATTAAAATTTAAATAAATAAATTAAAATTTAAATATCTGTCCATCGTTTATGATAAATGTTTTTTATTTTTCAAAGAAAATCCGTATAGAAAGATTCTTGATATCTATATCTAATATCACTAACACAAATATTAGCAATATTATTATTATTGTTGTTATTAACACTAAGATTAACAACAACAGCAATAATATAAGAACTGAATTAAAAAATATCTCGTTATCCAAAGGCTTCTTATTTTTAATATTAAGTTTATCAAGTTTCAATGTAAAGTCGGCAATCCATATTTTTTCATCCTCCTCTCATGTCTCAATCTTCTCCAAGCAGTGACAACGGATCAACTCATTTAAGAAAGGACAATTCAACTCATTCAAGTGAGGACAGTTCAACTCACTCAAGTGAAGCTCATCTAAGTGAGATCAGGTGGGTGGCAACTTTCTTATATAAGATTCATAAAAGTAAACAATCCATAGTTTTATTTTTTATTTCCTTTACTTAATAGGCCAAGAAGATTATGAAAGGCCTGAAAAAAATATTTTAATCAAGTTGTCTTCATTTTCCAAAGGAGCCAATAAATGAGACCAGGTAAGTAGTAGGTGATTTCAAAATATATTCAATACTAACTTTATAATTTGTAAATTGTAGTTTGCCTTTGGAGATTGGATCAACATATCAGTAGAACGATATAACAAGTTTCTCGAAAAGAGAGCACCCCGTGGGTACAAATATCATTTACAAGGTAACGGCAAAGTGTTTATAATTGATATGTCCAATGCGGAGCGTAGAAATCTTCTTATGTCGCTGGGTACTTTCTTTAATGTTCCCAACCATGGTTTTCCAGCTAACCGCCATCAATAATAGTTGGCTTCCTCCAGGCTTCTTGGTTTATAATCAATTTTAATTTCACATATTTTTATCCTTTTTCTAATTCATTATAGTCTGGCTAGAAATGGAAAGAAAATTGGATCTTTCCAAGTAGAGTTTACATTACAAATTTTACAGTTCCCTACCTGGGTCCTCCTCCAAGCAATACAAATGTATTTTGAAGTTAATGCATATTGTTTAAAATGTTGATTTTTTGACATCTATATGTTTATTTAGGGCCAATCACTATGCTATATCCAAGGTTTATTATAATTTATAGTTTTTACGTATATGCAATTTTTATTGACAAAAAAAGTACTAAGGATAAAATTTTAATTATTAATTTTAAGAAAGAATTTCCTTTTTGAATTTTGGTACCTACCTCCAGACAGTGTCTCTGAGATTTTCTTGGATACAAACAATCTTGAAAAATTTCTATGTCCAAAAGTTTTAGTTGTCATATGGGCGTATCCAATGAAAAATTAAATGATGCTTTGTTTACCATTTATCATTGAAGAAAAAATCAATAAAAGTAATTGCCTTGTGTTACACATTTTAAAAATGCACTAATTTTTTCAATGAAACAATGGTCTGGTCAAAAAATTTTTTGTTTTAAATACAAATTCTACTAATTCTACAATCGTACATAAATATTTATTTATTTTTATATTCCCTGCATAATGCAGGCTTGCATTACGTGAGTCAAAAATAATTGTCAGATCATTATCATCAACTGCAGATATGAAAAAATTTTATCTTCACTTTCTTGTGAATGGGATTTTTATTGGATTAATAAACCTGAAGCAGAAGAGCTTTTTTAATTTTTTAAATCCATATTTAAAATTTCCTGACTGTCATTTAAATGAAACTTTACAAGATCAAATTAGTGTGACTTTAACTTTTATCCGAAGAATGACCTTATGTACGTCGGGATTTATGGTAGTACGATTGAAATTATCTAATTTTACTATACTTTTTAATATAATTTTTTTAGCGACCAAATAATAATCTTGAAATAATTTTTGGGAGTTGTTTAAAATGTATATTTATATTTATTATTTATAAAAATAAATTATTTTATTAAATGTACATGTTATATTGTATTTTACATATTTTACAATAAATCTAATGACTTTTTTTTTCCAAATTAGCTAATTCTAAAGCCTTTTTTTTCTTCTAATTCAAAATTTATGTTTTCATTATTTATATTTTAGGTTTATTATTTTTTTTTAGTATTTTTAATAAAATTTCTTTTTAAGTTTTCTTTGATAGTATTTCCAAGACTTGATTAATGCATTTACTTACTATTAATTTTTTTTAATATTAACATTGGTTAGAAAAAAATATTTGCAAATACCTTCAGTCTCTTGGATTATTCCTATATACAGTTGCTACATCCTCTTTTGATGTCTTTGGATATTCAATCGGTAAAATCTACTTAAAAAACCGTATCAGTAACTTGTAAAGATCATTTATGGCGCGTGACTTTACATAACTGTTATCGTTTTAGATAGGATAAAATAAGTGTGACCATAGATCGATACTTTTGCTACTGTCATATAAATTTCACGTGACATAGGCGTGCTTTTTTTAATTTATTTTTTAAAAAAATTGTAGCTATAAAAAACCTTAATAGAAAATGTAGATTTTTGCATGGTGAGTAAATTCGATTATTTCCGTTTTTAGGATTTTCGTGTGGGATTTGACTTTAAATAGGAACACAATAATTGTAAAATTTATAAAAAATTTAAAAATAAGTGTTATATTTAAAAGTTTTTTACTAATAAAACAATGAAAATATTACTAAGTAACCTTAAAGTTAAAAATGAGTCATATTTACTGTAAAGATTTTAGACCTACTAAGTAAATAAAGAGGTATATGAATTTTTAAACTTTAATTACTAATTCACCTATAAAAGAGAATGGAAAATTTTGAATTGTGGATGATCAACCTCCAAATTTATAATAATCATTAAATTTAGATTATTTTATTTAATATGTATAGTTACATCAAAAAATAGGATTTTGAGCTGTTCACAAATAAATAAGAATTTAAAAAATATAATTTACATATATAATATAGTAATTCTTAAATCTTTGTTTTTGACTAAGTATAAATTTTTAAAATATAATTACAAATAATTTTTGAATTACATATATGTATATATGTTATTTTTACATTTAATATAAAAAAAAAATTATTAAAAAAAATTTATTTATATAAATTAGCAATATTTAATTTTCATATGTTTTTATTGAAAATCTAGATTTTCACTATTAAAATATTTCATCAATACATTTTTGAAAAGTTACATTATATCTAACCTAACTTTTTAACTTCAATATATCAATTTATAAATATTTAATAGTTAAGTAAGATGTATCAATTGGCTAGTTCAAAAATGTGCAAAGAAATAATTAACATATTCCCAAATTTCATTCTCTTTTATACATGAACTGTCAATTAAGTTTTTAAAAATTAGTATACAAAATTTAAAATTTATCATTAATTCAATTTTAATAAAATTTTTAACTTTAAGATTGCTTAATAGTGCATCTGATATTTATATAGTAAAAAAAACTTTTATATATAACAACTATCAATACTTATTTAAAAATTTTAAATAAATTATTTCTAATTAAAGTTCTTAATTTATTAATTAAATATTAATCAAACTATTAAGTAACTTTAATTAAAAAATTTCAGATTCTATGACCATATGACAATTATCCATAATAAATAAATGAAAAAATACTGAGATGGAAATATCTCTATCAATATTGAATAAATTCAAGTTAAACAACTACCATTTAATTCCTTTCATTGAGATGAATTGAATGGTAGTTGTTCATCCCAATTGAATAGATATTGATTAAGTTATTATTGCCTAAAGTTTTGTACAAAATGTATAAGATATTGATCATTATCTATGTACAATGGTAAAATGATTGGTCAATTTTTAAAAAAAAAAATTATAAAAGGGTTTAACTTAGAAGTAATATAAAAAATAGAAGTATTAACTAAAGAATTAAATAATGAAACTACAATTTTTGCAATTTTAAGTAATGGTGTAAATCTAGATATTTTTAAATTATTATTAAAATAATATAAATAAAAAGTATAAATAAAAAAATAAAAAACATTTATTAATTAGGCATTGATTAAGAATTATAAAAAAAACAATTGATTTTCTTCCATGTTTTATACATCAAATAAATCTTTGTACTAGAGAAATTTTTAAAAAATCAATAGAATCAAATTATCAATAGATAAGGCAATAAAACTTGCATCATTTTTTAGAAATCCAAACAATAAGTATTTTATTTCAAAATTAAAAAACCAACAATATGAAGAATATAAAAATATTTCACAATTGTTACACCAGGAGAAACTTGCTAGAACAGTTATTATCATATTTGTGTCAGTATTTTGAAAACACAAATATAAATAATTTAATAAAAATTAATCTAAATAAAAATAAATAAATATTTTTTTTTTATTATTTAGATTTTAGCAATTAAATTTGAACTACCAATCATAGAAACTTGACAAATGTGAGAGAAGATTTATAAAATAATTAGCTCGTCTATATACATATTGTAAGATTCTTAATATGCTAGAAAGTGATAAAGAAGCATACATTGGTCAATTTTGGAATAATTATTCTAATTAAATTTGGTTACTCGATTGATTAAAATGCAATATTTCATTTTTGAAAACCTCTAGTAGAATCGAAGGTTTTCAAAAACCTTTTGGCGAAAGTTTAATAATTAACTGTGTGGTGTTACACCTGTCGAATATTAATTTTATGTGAATTATAAATTATATTGTTTATTATATTTATTATGTATTGTATTTATTATTTATTACATTTTTATTACACTTATTATTTATTGTTATTTTATTATTATATTATTACACTTATTATTTATATCTTAAATTATTTGAATAAATAAAGTTATGCTTTGAGTTCTTGGAAAAATATCACATGTATTTCTATTTTGATCGATTATTTTACTTGAGTTAGATCAGAGAGGGAAGATTAAATAATAACTTAAATTTTCATAAAAAAAAATGAAAAAAATAGAATTATTTCTTTTAATCAATTTTCTTTTGAATTCTAAAATTTCCAGGATATCTCAATGAAACTAATGGATATACTTTGGTTGGTATATTATTCCAATGTGACACTACTGGATACTTTACACCATTTACTGAAAATGCCAAATTTCTTTCTCTTTCTCCCATATTCAAATGTACTCTTATCTTAGTACCTTGCTCAAATGGTGGACTTCCATAATTTATTACTTGTTTGTTATTACTAATCATTCCATTATTTCCCAATATCCACACTTTTGAATCATAATCTGTACATTTAAAATTTGTTACATCACCTTCACCACATATTCCTACCCAATCTGATGAACTAGGACGTTCGATGATTATATCCCATTCGTATAATCCAATATCTGTAATTGGTTGTGATGCTCGAACTCGTTCATTAAATTTTATAGTGCTGGAGGTTTCAACTTTATATCCATCATCAGAAATATCTTTTAATAAATAAATAGTTTAATTAATTTATTAATATAAGATATATTTGATATAATAAAATACAATATAATTAATTAATGAAATTATTTATTTATTAATATAAATAGATATTTAACTTATTTAACGAAATAATAATTAATTCCCACCTAAATTTGGACCACAAACGCTTATATCCCAGGTAAAATCTATTTGTATTTCCTCTTCTTCCAATTTTATTGTTGGTTCTTGTTTTACTTTGTATCTGTATGCTTCTATAATCAGTTCAAATGGTACTATATTTAATGGTTCAATAATTTCCGCCAATATATCACCACTAATTAATTTAATATTTACATATTTTAGCATTGGTGTTATCTTTTCGGTTAATTTTTTTTGAAATGATATTAGGTCAATATTTTCATGTTTAATAACTTGTCCATTTTCTAAAATTTTATCAAGTGGTAGCAAACATGCTTTGGTTTTTGTAAGTACGTCTTCCGAGACTTCCTGTGAGACTTCATTTGCTGCATGTAAAACAACATACCTGAATATGGTATATTGATTCTTTGCCAGGGATATTTTATTCTCTGTACAATACTTAAACAAAAACTGAAAAGCTTTTGATGATAAACTTCCAAATGGAATTTCTTCCAGAGGTATTTTCGTTACATACTTTGCCAATAGATTAGTAAGAGGTTGATCTGAGTGTCCTTCAACTACCTTAGTTAATAACTCAGGTGAAACATTTGAAACATTGGAGTTATTACTTAATATTTCCTCCAACATATTAATAATATGATCTTGTAAAATCGGTAATTGAAAAAAATCAGCTGCGGAATATGCATCAATTAGAATTTCTAAAGATAAATCTTCATTATCTCCATTGGTATAATTTCCTGTATATATAAATTCTAAAAGTATTTTCATCACTTGAGAATCATATACTAAATTGATTTCTTTTTCATGCGATTCTTTCATTCCATTGAATAATAAACAATCAAGGACCTCCGAACGAGCAGCAAGGATAGATCGACAGCCATAAAATTTTTCTGAATCAGCACAGGTAATTATAATGTCACTATACTTGGAATTATTAATAAGAAGCCGGAGATCTTGGGAAAGTGATGATCCACGAGTCATTCTTTAAAAAAGGATGTCTTTATTCTAAAAATGCTTTTTTTGTATGTGAGACAAAGATATGACCGGAAATCTTGATAAATCATTATTATATACTGTATATATCAAGAAATCCCGCAGTAATATATTAGATGAACATTTTATATTAGATGAACATTTCATTTTTCTGATAATCTTGGAATATAGCAAGAATTCGGAAACATTAATTGAAGACGTAATATATTTTATTAATAGAGGTGATATTCTCTGTTCTGTTATTAATGATTATGTCAATTCTCACTGATTAGATAATTTCTAACACCGGAAATTTTTATTTATAATTGATAATCTAGCTTTCTATTTTCATTCCTTTAAGAAAATATGTGAATTAGAACAAGAAACAAGGTAAAACATCATCATTGTTCTAATCAAAATTCCAAGACTTTCTATCCAAAAAGATAATGTATTTTCTTTAACAGGTAGTACTGATGCAATAGATTTTATAGAAAAATAGAATGTATAAATTAACTGTTAAAGGAAAAAATGGATAAATTTAAAAATATCTCTTCAGAATCACAAGTAAGATGGATGGTAAGTGTTAAATAATCGACAAATTCGTCATTTGGCTTTATTTAATTAATTAATTTTTTTTAATGAAATTATAGAAAGAATAATATCAAATACAGGAAAAATTTTTTGAAATCTTAATTAAATTTTAGTACGCTTTGGTTTATTTTTAAGGTATGATTGATTAATATCGTGCGTGCATATATTATGCATATTGGAATTAAATGTTCAGAAGAAAGTGATGAAAAAATATTCCGTTCTATTTCATGTTTATGGAGGGACCCGTTTCAATAAAATAAAATAAAAATTACTATAGATTGTTATTTATTCTTTAGCTTCTTCAAAATTAATTGTAGTAACTGTAGATACCGGGGGTGTTGGATGTAAAGGATGAACATTTTGTTTTTATATAAGAAGACATTTTAGGTGAATATGAATTAATTGATTCCTAAATATTATATTATGTTGATTAAGTAGAATTGGTTATCTGGGTTGATAATTTGATGGTTTTCTTATTACAAAAGTTATTGGTAATTGATTAAAGGTATTTTCTATTTACACTGACTTGACATTATATACATTATATGAACGCACGCACCTACATTTAATTTTGAAGGTTATGAAAATGTTGCTATGATTGATTCAATTCCGATGATGGTAATAATAATAATAATAATAATAATATTATTATTATTATTATTATTATTATTATTATTATTATTATCTGTATTTTTTTTTTAATTATTAATTATACTAATACGAATATACAATATTTCAAAATTTATTCATTCAAATCATTCAATTCGGATAATGATAAGAATTATAATTTATTAATTTCTCTAATTTTAATAGTTCGCTTTTTTAATTTAGTTGATAAATTCACTCTTGCATCTGTTCGTGAATATCGTGTACAATTCTATATGAGGTAAATTTTATTATTATTATTATTTCTTTCTTTTTGTATAATTGTATAGGCGAATATTGATTTTATTATATTTATGCTTACAAATTTTATTTTTTTTCAAAATTTTTTTTGTATAATCATGCTAGAAATGATTTATACATTTTTCTTATTTTATTTTTAAATTATTTAATGCAATAAATTTTATAATAATATTTATCATATTAGACTTATTTATTGGATGTTCAATACATAAATCAAATAATTTATATTTCTTTCATTGTCAATGGAGCCTTCATTTTTCAAACAAACCAATAAGCAAGATCAGGTAGGTAGACATCATACAGGATGTGTTTGATGTTGACTTTTAAGGATTGCAGTTTAGGTCAAATGTATCAATGAAAAATAACAAGTTTTTGAATATGAAGTGCCTTGTGGGTATGTGTATCAATGGCAAGATAATGTCAACACGTTTAACATGTTTATTACTATGCATAGAATTCTTGTTAATTTTTATTGTACTTTTTTTTTATATTCCCAACAATGGTAGGTGCTGTTCCAAGTCCTACTCCTAATAGCCATTCAATAGTAGTTGATGGCTTGTTCCTTGATTTGAAAATATTTATCATTTTCTAGTTCAACTTGAAATAAGGAAAAAAATTTTCTCCAACTTGCAATAGCTCCAAATTCACTTTATATCTCAAATCCTGTTGTTTCTCACCCAGGTCCTTCTCAGAGTGATGTAAATATATCTTGAATTTAATGCATATTTGTTTTAAAGAGTTATTCCTTGATATTAATATATTTATCTAAGCCCACATGCCAGGATTGTGAGAACCTCCAATTAACCTGATCTTGGATCAATGTGGAGATGAGAACCTTACATGTTTGGTGTCAAGCTTCATAAACCAAGAATACTCTAGGCAAAATACAGCTAGGCTCTGGATCCAAGGAGCAGGATATCAAGAGTAACCCATCTGTAATTGTTATTTTTTATTTTTTGTACTAAATCCTTTTCTTAAAATGTATTCTAGTAGAAATTTGGTGTTCCCATATCCATCCAAAAAATCCATCATAAACAAACAAAAGTATAATTAAAATAATAATTCAAAATAATTTATTTATTTTATTTTCTAATATTTGTATTGTGAATAACTTAAATGATGACTAGCATTAATTATTAAGTTTTTTTATCCATTAATTAGAATTTTCTTATTTCTCTTTCTCTCATATCGATGCAAAAAATATAATAACTAATTTTGTTAAGACGATTGAAGAATTTTTTATTTGTCTTTAACACATCAAAGAATTCAGTGGAAATCTCGAGAATAATTTTTTCTTGGGATTTACAAAATAAAAAACTTTATAATTATGTCAGACATTTTGGTAACTTTCGAAATTATGTAAACTTTAAATGTATCATAGAATTACTTAATTTTTAGCTAATTAATACTTAATCGTATAAACTGTTCTGATCTATTAAATATTTCTTAGATAGTTTTTTAATCATCCCATCAGAATACACATTGGTATAACAATAATAAAAAATTCAAAAAATGTATTAAATGTGCATAAATTTTATTTATGCTTTATCAAAGTACTGTATAAGATTAAGATAAAATTATAAATTCATTGGATTTTATATTTATTTGTAATAAATATCAAATACCAAGAAATAAGTCGAAAAAAAAAGGAACGGAAGCTCGAATTCAATAATGTAAATGCATTATTTGATTTTAACATATATAAATTTTTATTTACATTAACCACCAAATTCTACCATTAAAGAAAACTTGCGTTACTCAAATAGTACCACTTAGTTATTATCAACTTTGTAATCTTTATTAGGACCGAAAGAAGAGTGAGGTGCAACAAGCAATTCTGATCTGTTACATTATAAATATACAGTATAATTATTTTATATAGTAATATTATAATTATGTGAAGGCTCAACAATAATTACAAGAATTTGTTTTTCTTGTCATTAGGTTGGGTCGGAAATTAGAAAAAAAGAAAGTTTTTGGCTACTTTCATGGCATTTTTCGGATGTCCGTACTTTTAACAACATTATTGGAAGGATTTTTTGACAAGAAATCTTAACAAAAGCAATCAGATGGTATGTATAAAGAGTGTACAAGAAGGATGAAAAGATACCAAACATTCAAAATCGGATACAAATACACCGTAAAGAAGCAGCAAGAGTTTTAAAAATAATAAAAAATTAAAATAGAAATGCATGTCTGTCATTATAATAGGAATCTGATGTTTCCTCAAGAAAAAGTTTTATTTTTATTATTAAATATAATAATAAATTGAAAATAATAAAGGTTTTTAACAATAGTTGACAAATACGTGATCAGTTTTAATGTTCATCCATTCATCGAGGAATTTACTGCTACTACTACTAAAATCAGTATTTGAAGGAAATAGTAAAGGATGAGGTAAAGAATGAGGTAAAGGTTTACTTGTAAGGCATTCCTTACAGGTAGGGTTGTTATCGGTTCAGTTCAGTTTAAAGTTTGTCAGTTGGACCTTTGAGTCAAATGAACCACGGTTTTAACTTCGGTTCAACCATCGGTTCGAACTGGTTCAGTTCAAACATCAGTTTAACCATCAGTTCAACTATCAGTTCATTGATTCAACTATCATTAAAATCATAAAAAATTTTCTTTATTTTTTAATTAATAATTTGACGTAGAGATGTTCTATTTTGATAAAATAGCTACCAAAATGTTTGCCTCGATGAGAGGAACCCATTGAGCTTTAGATCACAAAAATTGGATTACAGGTTAGTGAAATATCTCTGAATAACATGAAAATTATAATACTGATAAATATCTAATGGTGAAATATTAACTTTGCATAGAGACATCCAATTTTAATGAAACAACTACTAAAATGTTCACCTCAATGAGAGGAATCTAATGATCTATGTATTGCAAAAATTGGAACACAGGTTAGTGAAATCTCTCCAAATAACATGAAAATTTCAATAGATTTTATCTACTGATAAATATCTAATTGTGAAACATTAACTTTATGTAGAGAAGTCCAATTTTGATGAAATGACTATCAAAATGTCACCTTGATGAGATATTAAATTAAATTTCAGTTGAACTATTAGTTGAATAATTGGTTAAATTATCAATTGAACTATAATTTTATTATAATTCAAGTTTGCATTTTTTCTAATAATTTCATAATTACCACTGGATAATTTTGTGTTATAGCTTATCTCTATAAGTTTACAATTTTGGATCATAATATCTACCAAAATTTTGAAAATAGTTTCTACAAATTTTATTACAATTATTTATTTGCCAACAAATGTAGTAGTTGAAATTTTTGTCAGTTAAATTTTCAATTCTGTTTAAATCACTAGTAAATAATTTGAATGTAAATCAAAATTATCTTCATTCACATTTGTATCAATTTATTTTGATATTCCTTAATTTTTGAAATTCCAATTTCATTTTAATAGCAATATTTAATAGAATATTGTTTAAATTCATTATTTTTTCTAGCTAATTTTAATATCACTAAAATACTTTTTCTT